ATAAGTCTACTCATCACGAGAATGAAGTCACGACTTAAACTCAAGCCTTTAAACCACGCTCTCGGAGAAACATTAGAAATAATTGAATGTAACCACCGTCCAAGATTTCCCATGTCCCAATCGGTTTGCCAACTAGAAAGGGAACTCTGACGCACTACATGGTAAAATTCTTCGGTTGAAATTTGCCTGTCATAAAATTCGCCTTCCTGCGCGCCCACCTTTGCGAGAGAGTCCGCCTTCTCATTGCCTGGGATTGAGCAATGTGAGGGGACCCATGCAAAGGTAATCATATATCTAGATAGAGCTGGAATTAGGGCGTAACAGCTTTTGTAAACAATGACTTCTCTTGATGATTTCCAGTAACTCAAGGCTCGCCCAAGCAAATCAATAGCAACATCAGATAGGGGAAGTCTTCCTCTACCCGATGGTTATGTTGGTTCGCGTTGGCGCGCCCTGTATTCCTAGAAATCATCGAGCAAAGCCATTGCTTACAAAAACTGTTAGGCCCTAATTCCAGCTCTATCTAGATATTATCTTTCGACCATCACACTCATCTGCTCCCTTAGCTTTGAAAGGAAATAAGATGAGTGCCTTGATGAAATAAGAATGAGTACCTTGTTTCATAGACCGAATAGCCTCGATCGAACTGAGACTATTTGAGAAGATGAAGTAATGGTATGTGGGCATATTAGAAATCATCCCCAATGCGAAGTTGATTGCTGCCAGCTCAGCAACAAATACGGAACAAGGTTCCTGAAGCTTGCGGAAGGCGCTAGAGTTTTCATTAAAGACACCGAAGCCAGTGGATCTATCGAGACGGGATCTGTCTGTAAAATATCTTTTCATGCAATTGACTTGTTGGCAGGCATGGAAAATCATTTGCATTCATTTTATACATTCATTTGCCTCTAACTTTTTTCATCAACTGCATTCTGCAAAATGATGTATAGAGCTTTTGTAGGTTTTGTTATTAGCTTTTGCTTTTGCTCATAACTCAATTCTGTATCTCTTATGCGTTACGAACTAGAGCGGGCAGAGCTTGTTACTGTTTTTCAGTGAATGTAAAATACATTAACTGAAAAACAGTAGTGGCTTCTGTTCGCTTTGGTTCATCATGCATAAGATATACGGATTTGACTTGTTAACAAAAGTTGTAGCTAATAACAAAACCTACAAAAGCTCTATACATCATTGTACGAAATGCTGTTTAAGAAAAAAGTTAGAGGCAAATGAATGTAAATGAATGCACGAAATGAATGCAAATGATTTTCCATGCCTGCTTGTTGGTACTTTTCAGTAATAATGAAAAGAGAAAATAATAGGTCGAATTTGATCGGGAATCCCATTAGTTGCTTGTTTCATACTCAGAATTTAATTGGATTTAACGTAAGCATTCTATGTTATAAAGTAATGGAAAATCCCAAAAAAAAAAACGATTCACCCCTGATTGTATGACCAACTATGACCATGAGCCTTATTTATATAATAAAACTCATGCTATAGATGTTGTATAGTTTTTTTATAGAGCGATTCCAGACGCATTCGCAAATCCATTAATTTTCGTATTTTTTTATTTGGCTGAAAATTTTCAGAAACGTTCCTCATGACCAAAATGCTATTTTGCATCTTCGGATCATCTCTTATTTATTTCAGAATAATTTTTATAAAAATATTTTAGGTTCAAAGAATGTATTTTCAGCTGGAGCTGGATTTATGCTACGCCTTTAGACAACTATGCTTGCCGAGGGATCAAAATTAATCGATGTAAGAGCTGATATTCATTTTAGAATGACAGATATAACAGTGAACCGGGAAATCGGGAAAAGCCATGAAAAAGCCGGAAAGTTGAAATCACCGGGAAAAGCCCATGAATTTCAATAAAGAAATAAAAAGATTTTGAACCTTTGAAAAAATGTCGAGACCATTCTACTGGACCAAATTTTAAGAGAATTTTGAGAAAATTTCAGAATGAATTCAAGAGGTAGTTCAGAGAAAATTTCCAAGTGAGTTTTAACTTGAACTCGAGGCAATTGTTACGAAGTTTTGTGGAAAATTCCATGACAATTGTGAACAGTATTTTAGGACCCGCAAAAATGAGCAAAGGAATCGAATTTTGAACGAACTTTCCAAAGAATTGTTCGCATATTCGAGCATAAACTGCTTGTTTGATGGGATTGATTTCAAGGGTATATCGAGAATATATTCTAAGCTATTCTAAGAGGAATTCCAAGTGAATTTTCTGAAGAATTTAGAGTAGAACTTTAAGATAATTCAGAGTTAGTTTTATTTGTACAATTCGGAGGACAATTGAAGCGAATTTTTTTTTAGAATTAGTGAATGAAGCTTCAGTGAACTCCTGGAATAATCATAGAAAAAATCGAAGAGAATCTTCGAGGATGAATTCCATCAGAGGTGCGTCCACCTTCAACGATGTGCTTGGAGCAAGGTACTATGGTCTTATAGAAACGCAGCAAAAAATAAATTTTAATATTACTTTCAAGAGGATGCACTTCTATCATGTCGAAAATATCATGTAATTTTTATGGCTTCAAAAATAAACAAATGCAGTAAAAGCAGCATAATGTCAGTTCATGCACTGTATTAATGATAATTTTGACCTTTTGGCAAATAATATTACACCATATTTTCGACACGATTGAAGTGCATCCACATTGATATGATATTAAAATTATTTTTTTTGCTGTGAATTTTTGAATATTTTGGGAATCTTGTACTGGTTCCAGAAATGTATGACTGGAACATTTTCTGTTTTGTGAATACCATGAAACTAAATCAAGCTGAACATTGCATTAGGTCCTAAGTAACATTGACAGATTCTCTCCGTCGACTTTCTCTTTGTATATCCACGGCCATGTAAAGACATTCCCAAGTATTTTCAGCACACCGATCGATAAAAGAAGCTTTTATCTAGCATTTCATACGACAAACACAACAAGACATGGTTTTTTTTTCCTTGATTTGTTTTCCGTCGATCTTGTTTTCCGTGCTGAGCACCAATGCTACCGACGCCAGGAAGGCAGCTCCCACACCTGGACCCTACCTATCGACCCATCAACTTATGAACCGGGGACCAACGGCTTTACTTCCCTTCCGAAGGAAGGCGTGATCAGAGATGCTATGCCTCAGAACATCCCGGCGGCGCCGACTGGGATTGAACCCAGGCCTGCTGGGGTGAGAGGTAATCACGCTTACCACTACACCACCGGCGCCGCTAACAAGACATGGTTATGTGTTCAAGTTATTAACGAAAGAGAAAGTCGACGAAGAAAATGTTACTTAGGATCTAATGCAATGTTCAGCTTGAAATGCGGCCTGAAAATAAATAAAACCCATCATGTGACAAATCAAATAATATGAGAATTAAAAAACCAGTTCACTGGTAGTAATAATCCGAGCACAGAACTATACTGGCCACATCCGGCCATGTTTCTAGCTTCTTAGGGTCAACATCCATCATGCGTTACCTTAAATCACATGAGAATAAATATATCATTTCTCATCGTATGAGTACTTTAGTCGGAATTTCTTTTAGTAAGAAGCGTCAGATTTCATCATTGGAGGATTAATTCAGGTTTTAAACTATGTTCTCTATAACATCGTGGGTGCGACAAAGCTTTGACTGTGCCACCCAGGTATTTTTGTGCGTAGGACATGTACTACCTGTCCCACCCATTCCTTGCGCCTCTGAATTCCATAAACTTTTTGGAGTGTTCTGCAGAGAATTTCTGGACTGTTATATAAAAATTAAGGGACTCCCAGAGAGAACCATTTATTTAAGAAGAATTCTGAAAAGAACGCTATGAAGAGAAATGATTCTGAAGGAAATGCTTAAGGATACTCCAATAAAATCTTGTAAAGACTTCTGAGCGAATTATCAAGGCAATTGATCATGGACAAATTTTGAAGACCGAATTCAGAAACAAATTCAATATCGAGGAAAAATATAGCTGTCTTTGAAATGCCATAATTAACCCATTGCTTCCTTCGGCTATATCGCATTTGGCTTTACACATAATTTGAATATATACATTAGGGTGGGTCTTTACAGCCCCGGTGGGCCTTTACAACCCCGTACTGCTCTTTCAATGTGTATTTAAGTCCCCAACAACTGTGCAAAATTTGAACGAATTTGGTGATAAACTTGATTTGCAGGAGAATTTTAAATTTAGTTTCGGAAAATGTATGGGAAACGGAATGATCCTATTCATTTGCTACCAAAAATCCAAATATTGCTCAAATTTCCCCAAATCAGTTGCTTAGTAAGTTTTGGGGCTTTGTATGCAATGTAAATGATTTCATATAGATACCAAGAAACAATAATATGTATCACTTTTCTAAGCTTGAGACCTCTTATGTTTGCAAAGCCTCAGAGTTTACTGGGCAACGTGGAGGTTTAGCTAGTGATAAGCGTCGCTAGAACTATTCCACAGTTAACGGACAAGTCAAACGCGCACTCTGTTTCCTGTGGAGGAAATACCTCAAGTCCCCTTACCCATCGAGTGAGCTAGGCAAAGGAGTGCATATTTTATTAGTATAGTCGCATCAACGGCCCTTCGCTCAATTTCAACTTCTGTTCAATTTTCTTCTTCTTCTTTCCTTTATTTAACGTCGGTCTCTGTTCCGCAATCTAGTGCCAATCACCGACGGACATTGATTGCCATCCATTGACGGCAATCGATTCGAATGTACAGGAAGACAGCTTCCACACCAATCCCAGCCGGCGCCGCTGGGATATTTTCTGAAACATAAAATCTCTGATCATGCCTTCCTGCATCCCCGGTTCATGAGTTTGATAGGTCGATAGGCAGGGTCGAATGTGGGAGCTGCCGCTCTGGTGTCTGTAGTAGCATTGGTACTCAGTTCAACACAACACAAGATCGACGGAAATCAAATCAAAGCCAAAAATCTTCGTCATCATCCTATATTATTTTCAATAATAAATACCCACCTAATATAACCTTATTATTCCTATATTACAGACAATGGGAAAAGGAAATCGTTAGAGCTCGGAGGAAAAATCGCTCGCCCCGACTTCGAGATGCTCTCTTCCGGACGTTCTACAAACAGTGCCTTTTTGATGGCTTCCTAGTGTTTCTATTCGTGTTCATCAAGTAAGATAAAAAAATCCCCTATATCAACCGAGTCAATTCACAGCAATACCCTTGAACCCTTCTATTCACAGATCAATTTTACCGTTAGTCCTAGCGCAACTCCTGATCCAGTTCCAAACTCCGATGAACGCAACGCACGTTAGCACCCCAAGCAGTAATACCACCATGACGTCTCCAATGTCCGATGTCTTCCTCACCACGACGCTGCACTTCCTGGATCAAGAAGATATGGATTCCCATAGCGAAACGGGCGAGGTGGATCGCCGCGTACGCCGCAGTATTGCTGACAGCAAAACTTCATTCGGTCTGAACCATTTCAATACTGACGACTACCGGGATGATGATGGTACGAAAATAAACTATTTTTGTGATGCAATATTATTTGAATTGAGTGCTGATAAATCCATTTGTGCTACAAACAAACATAAGAAACCTACGAACCTCCACTGATTGGATTTGATTTATTGTGAGCTGATTCGTTTTCTTTTCCTGTTGTAGATTACAGCGTCAGTCGCGACGAGGGGTACGATGACCTCGAACAGGAGGAAGAGCCCACCAAAGAGCGCAAGCTAGCAAGCGTCGCTGACTACGTCAATTATGCATGGAACGACGCTTATTGGTTGGCCGGCCTGTTGGTGTTGTTGACACTGCTGGGATGCTTCTGTAGTCACCACTCCGATCTGAGGCAGCGATTGGTCGGAGCACGGATGAGGATCGCGTGTTGCTCTGTCATCTACCGGAAGACCTTGCGTATGTCGAAGAAAGCGGCTGGACAAACCCCGGCTGGTTATCTAATCAATCTACTGTCGAACGACGTCAGCCGACTGGACTATGGGTTCATATTTTTGCACTACGTGTGGGTGTTACCGTTCCAGGTAGGTAGACTAGATCGAGGAAGGGCGATTATCCATGTTAACTGACTTTTTGTGTACTACAGGCAGTCTTCACGTGCTACCTCATCTGGAGACAAGTCCAGTGGGCAGCAGTTGTTGGAGTCGTTGGTTTGCTTCTAAAAACCATTCCAGTTCAAACTGGGCTTGGTCGACTGCAGTCAGTTCTGCGAATGCGCGTTGCAAAACGAACCGATCAACGAGTGGGAATAATGAACGAACTAATCCAAGGTATTCAGGTAATCAAAATGTACGCCTGGGAGAAGCCATTCCACACGGTTGTGTCGCTAGCTCGCAAGAAGGAAGTCCGGCAAATCCGATGGGCTTCGTATATCCGGGGGATTTATCTCAGTACGATGATGTTTACGGAAAGGTCCACGCTCTTCATAGCGATCGCTACTTGCTACTTCGAAGGACGGCCGATTACGGCGGACATTGTATTCCCGATGGCCCAGTTCTTCAACACTCTACAACTAACGGCAGCCATCTTCTATCCATTGGCCGTTTCACTTGGAGCTGAAGCTTTGGTGTCCATTGACCGCATTCAGGAGTTCCTTGGAATGGAGGAACAGGACAAGAAGATGATTGGTTTGAATAAGAACGAAACAGAGCTTGTTAAAATTTGCCCCACTATCGGTGTTCAGCTCAACAATGTCTCCGCCAGTTGGGAGCACAATAAGGACAAAACTCTCAAGGAATTGAATCTCATAGCCAAGACCGGGCAACTGCTTGCAGTTGTTGGGCCCGTTGGTGCCGGCAAAAGCTCTCTACTTCAGCTGATTCTGGGCGAGCTGCCCATACTGAGTGGAACAGTAAATATCAACGGAGAAGTTTCATATGGGTGTCAGGAACCGTGGTTGTTTACGGGGACAGTCCGGAACAATATCCTGTTTGGTCTGGCCTATGATCGTAAACGGTATCAAGAGGTAGTGAAACATTGTGCCTTATTGACCGACTTTGAACAACTTCCGGATGGAGACAAAACGGTTGTCGGAGAACGAGGAACTTCTCTCTCCGGGGGACAACGTGCTAGGGTGAATTTGGCACGTGCTGTCTACAAGAACGCCAACATCTACCTGTTGGATGATCCACTCAGTGCGGTCGACACTCACGTGGGACGGCATCTGTTCGATGAAGTTATGGGTCCAAAGAGTTACTTGGCTAAACAACAAGCGACAAGAATTCTGGTGACTCATCAGGTTCACTTTCTGAAGGATGCCGATTGGATTGTGATCATCGATAATGTAGGTTTGGCGAAGGTTGTTCCACCAGTTTAGATTTCTAATGTCGATATCTCTTTTAGGGTAAAATATTAATGCAAGGTACGTATCAAGAGTTGTCCAAGAGTGACTTGGACTTTGGCAAATTGATGGGATCGGCTGATGGGAATAGTGACAACCTTGAAGAAGAGGAGCTGGAGGATGTCGCCGACGAAGAGATTCCATTCATTGACGGTGCGAAGGGAGAAAGTAACAAGTTGCTGAAAAGTACCAATTCCATAGGGGCGCGGGGATCAATGTCATGTGCTGTAAGTAAACGATTATTTAGTTTTTCTGTCAAAACATATTTGAAAATGAACTATTTTAGTCAAGCGTTGCTGACGGCCTGGGTCAAACCGTTGGTGAAGATCAAGCAGAAGGTACCCTGGCTGTAAGGGTTTGGACTACCTACTTCATGGCTGGTGGTAATATCTTTCTCCTGCTGTTCACCGCGTTCATGCTCGTCTTCTCGCAAGTGGTAGTCAGTGGATCCGACTATTTCGTAACCTACTGGACCCGCCAGGAGGAACGCCGGATTCGCGACCTGCCGGTGGACTACTCCACCGTAGATTTGCTGACAACCTACGGAATCATCATCATCGGAGTGATTATCTTCACCATCTTCCGAGGATATTTGTTCTTCAACATCTGCATGAAAGCATCACGAACGCTGCACGATCGTATGTTTGCCAAGATCCTCGCTGCACCGATGAGGTTTTTCGATACCAATCCATCGGGACGTATCCTGAATCGTTTCTCCAAAGACATGGGCGCCATTGATGAACTACTGCCGAAGGCAATCATGGATGCCGTCCAAGTACTGCTGGTTATGGTTGGTATCTTGGTGGTGATTGCCATAATGAATCCCATTTTGTTGGTAGCCCTCTTGGGTGCGATCATCCTGTTTGCAGGCGTGCTTAAGCTGTACCTTCGTCCAACGCAAGATCTCAAGCGCTTGGAAGGAATAAGTAAGTTTCGGTTCTTGGACGAATGCAGAGGTGTTGGATTACGTTTGATTTTGAATTACAGGCCGCAGTCCAGTGTTCTCGCATCTATCCGCAACTTTGACGGGATTATCGACGATCCGAGCGAACGCTGCACAGCAGAAGATTACCCAGGAGTTTGACGCACTACAGAATGTGCATTCAGCTGTTTGGCAGTTGACGATGTCCAGCAATGCCGCGTTGGGACTGTGGTTAGATTGCATCAGTACGGCGTTCGTAGCCTGCGTGACATTCAGTTTCATTGTGCTGCATGGAGGTAAAATATTTGGCGTGTTCTGATCCCAGATGTGATTACCAGTTATTTTGTACATTTTCAGAAACCTACAGCGCCAACGTTGGTTTGGCCATCTCCCAGGCTATGATCCTAACCGGTATGGTTCAGTACGGCATTCGGCAAACTGCGGAATCTATCCAGCAAATGACATCGGTAGAACGAGTCATTCAATATACCGAGATACCATCGGAAACCGATCCACCGAAGATCCCACCGAACGATTGGCCATGGCGTGGTCAGATCGAGTTCCGTGATATGTCCCTTCGGTACGAAGTCAACAGTACTCCGGTTCTGAAGCACCTAGATATAACGATCGAGCCTACCTGGAAGGTTGGAATTGTAGGACGAACCGGTGCCGGGAAATCATCTCTAATCGGAGCACTTTTCCGATTAGCTCCGATCGAGGGCAGGATACTGATTGATGGCATTGATACGGGAGTTGTATGCCTGGAGTCACTGCGGTCCAAGATTTCCATTATACCTCAAGATCCGGTACTTTTTAGCGCTACGATCAGGTATAACCTAGATCCATTCAACCTGTACGACGATGACAGTCTGTGGACGGCGATCAATGAAGTTGAGTTGGGGTCTGCTATTAGTGGATTGGATTACATGGTCACGGAGTGCGGCACCAATTTCAGTGTTGGCCAGAGGCAGTTGATCTGCTTAGCGAGAGCCATCCTGAGAAATAACAAGGTTCTGGTACTGGACGAAGCGACTGCCAATGTAGATCCTCAGTAAGCTCTTCAGAAATTTCAAACACTTCACCAATATCAATACGAAAATTCCCTTTTTTATAGAACCGACGCCCTCATCCAAAAGACAATCCGGGAAAAGTTCAAACAGTGCACGGTACTTACCGTGGCCCATCGATTGCACACCGTCATGGATTCGGATCGAATCCTGGTGATGGATGCCGGCGAAGCACGTGAGTTCGATGCTCCTCACGTTCTCCTCCAACAGGAAGGAGGCATACTGAGGGACATGGTGGAGGCAACGGGTCCATCAGAGTCGGAATCTCTCAAACGCATTGCTGCGGCAACGTATGCTGCAATGGATCCCAACCGGCATCTACTGAACGGCCTGCCGAATCCTTGGCGTTTTAGCAAGGAAGGCCAGTAATAAACATATCGCAAGAGATTTCAACAATTTACTTACACTATTTTTATCTCGTAAGAAAAAAAAATCAAACCAAATTTTCTAGAAATTCAGGAAAGCGTTTTATAGCCCATAAGTTCTTGACCACTATTTACAATGGATGTAACGAGTAGTAATTAAGATTTTTATACGAGAAGCAATACACAACTAACAGACAAGTTCTTCATCTTCTGCTTCGATGGTCTTCGTTTTCTTCTTGCCACCGAAACAGCTCCAACCTTTCCCGGAGGCCTTCCGTGCCGCCTTGAGGTCCTCTTTGGTGGTCTGCGTTCCACGGATCTTCTTCTTGAACTTTGGTGGAAAGGTGATACTCTCCCATGATGATTGTTCCGGAATCTGGAGTGCTCTGCGGCGTCGGATCGCCTGATCTCGTGCCTGCTTCAGATGCTCTACGCAGTTGTGCGGCGTTGGTTGTCTCCATATCGGTTCTGGTTTCTTGATGCAGCAAGGACAACAGCAAGCCAAGCACCGTCGTCTCGCCCTTCGCCGTCTTATTTGCGTCTGTATTACCTTCTGCTGTTGGACTCTCTGTTTCTCTTCCTGCTTGATGCGCTTCTCCCTCTGCTTGATCATCTTCTCACGCTGTTTCTTGTACTGTTCGTCTCGGGTAGGCTTCTTCCCGCAGCAAGTCGATCCTTGTCTACTTTTCGGCCTCCGTTCCTTCTTCGCTTTGGCTTGCTCCATCTGCTCAATATCTCGCTTTCTCATGCGCACCATCAGTGGTTCCTTTTTCTCTTGCTGCTTTCGACAGCAGCTGCTCCAGCCTTTATTTTTCTTCTTTCGCTTGCCTTTACTTTTCGGCCTTACCGGCATCGGAACACATGCCCCGTGGGGATCTATCCTGTTACAAACGCAGGTATCCTGTTTGCCACGGCGTGTCTTGGCACTAAAGTCCTTGCAACGGGTGTCTACCGCCACATGACGGCATCCGGGACAGAAACGAACCTCCTTGGCCATTCTTGGGATGGGTGCCTTGCATCCGTAGCTACTGCCAAGGGGTTCTAAGCAGAAAAACAATTAATTTAATTTTAGTTGGGAAATATAATTCAAAAGTATACTTGATATGGCTTTCTTCTTTTTGTTTGATTTCTTGCCTTCCTCAATGGCAGGACTAAAATTGTAGTTTTCTTCATTATTATAGAATCTAAATAAATGAATCTAGCAAATCAATGCTCACAGTTTCTCGTTGATGTATTGCCGAAACACTTTCAAGTATGGTCCCGGCTGAAAGCACTGATCACGGGACACTGCCACAAAAGCCGAGTCATCGTGAATTTCCTGAATCGATCGAAGTGCTTCTCCGAACAGGGTGTAAACTCTACAACATGAATTCCGAAAGATGACTTAACTGTACTTAGCTTAATCAAAACATAACCATAAAAACACTTACACATAACCGTTGTAATAGTGAAGCCGATTTATTCTTTCGATCACTTGATTATCCTCCAATTTGTTACGATCGATCAGAACCTTGTGCGGTGGCTTGAACGGTTGACCGTTGGTGAAGAAATAGATGGTATGTTTCGATTTTGACATGGCCGGGAAAATTTATACGATAGGTTTTCCGAAACTAAAACTTTAATTTTGAGACAATTTTGACATTAGACTATCACCGAATCAATGATTCCTTTGATGAAATTTTCTTATAGTAAAAAGGCTTTCTTTCCGTTGCTATTGTAATACAAACTAGTCAGGGTCTATTTGTACATACTAGTGTAGTATTCTTCCTCCAAGTCATACAAATCAGCCGCCATATCGTCTCGCACTGCCATCAATTTGTTATCCCGATCCATCTGAGTGCTCCGGTACAGCTGTGAGCTACTGCAGATGGCATCGTTCACCGAGTGGAAGTCATTCAAGATCAAATACTGTTTGATGTCGGACACAAGCTTCATCAAGGATTCCCCCGCGCGCACTAAATCGAACCGAATTTTGTCACATTACAAATAAGGGCAATGTTGAACAATAACAGCGTAGGTACTTACCGATATTCGAGGCGCGAACCTGCATCTCGTAGGTGTCCTGCTCGCATTGGGTCATCTTCGATAGTTGTGTTTCGTTTTCGCCCTTGGCAAGGCGGACAATTTCTGGAATGAAACAAAATAAAATACAGTCAGGAATCCTTATTGCCGGATTCCTTATTGCCGGTATCTCTTATTGCCGGATCCTTATTGCCGGGCTATCCGCGAATAAGGATACCCACAGCTTATGGGATTTTCACTAATGGGGGCTGTAGTGGATTATCTCATTTGTTTCAATACATAAAGCTATACTGTCTTCGACAAAGTTGCTGTACTGGGTTAGACCAACAAGCCTGTGCCATTGGATTCAGGTTAAATTAGGAACTACGCCGCTAGAGGCGCTTCACTTTTATGTTACTTATGACGGGCGCTATAATATATGGATCATATTTCCAACATAGAATATTTCGTGATCCTGACCATATAGAAAGTTACTGTCTTCAGCAAAGTTGTTCAGGTGACCAAGTCCTTTCGGATGGTGGCTATATTAGTTCAGAACTCTCTCACTACGCAGCGCTAGTGTGCATGTGCAATTCCTATATAAACTGTATCTCGAGAGCCTGGCCATATAGAAAGTTGCTGTTTTCAGCAAAGTTGGGCAGGTGATCAAGTCCTTTCGGATGGTGGCCATATTAGTTCAGAACTCTCTCACTACGCAGCGCTAGTGTGCATGTGCAATTCCTATATAAACTGTATCTCGAGAGCCTGGCCATATAGAAAGTTGCTGTTTTCAGCAAAGTTGTGCAGGTGATCAAGTCCTTTTGGATGGTGGCCATATTAGTTCAGAACTCTCTCACTACGCAGCGCTAGTGTGCATGTGCAATTCCTATATAAACTGTATCTCGAGAGCCTGGCCATATAGAAAGTTGCTGTTTTCAGCAAAGTTGTTCAGGTGACCAAGTCCTTTCGGATGGTGGCTATATTAGTTCAGAACTCTCTCACTACGCAGCGCTAGTGTGCATGTGCAATTCCTATATAAACTGTATCTCGAGAGCCTGGCCATATAGAAAGTTGCTGTTTTCAGCAAAGTTGTGCAGGTGAGCAAGTCCTTTCGGATGATGGTCATATTAGTTCAGAACACGCTCACTACGCGGCGCTAGTGAGCAAGTAAATTTCCTGTACAAGCTGTAACTCGAGAACCTGGCCATATAGAAGGTTACTGTCTTGAGCAAAGTTGTTCAGATGACTAAGTCCTTTCGGATGATCGTCATATTATTTCAGAACTCTCACACTACGCGACGCTAGTGTACACATGAACTTCCTTAATATATTATTTCTCCAAAGCTTGTCCATATAAGATGTTGCTGTGCAATGTGAGAACAGGAACCGGAAAAGGGATGACGTGTAGAGGCCGGAAATCGATGTCAGATGCCATTTTGTAATCCAAGATGGCGACCATAGGTTCAAGAAAAACTGTCAAATACCCTACAATATGGATATTTTTGGAAGGAGACGACGTGTAGAGGCTGGAAATAGATGCCAGACGACATTTTGGGATCCAAGATGGTGGCCATCGGGTCAAGAAAAACTGTCAAATACTCTACAATATGAGTATTTTCGGAAAGGAAACGACGTGTAGAGGCCGGAAATCGATGCAAGATGCCATTTTGGAATCCAAGATGGCGGCCATCAGTTTAAGAAAAACTGTCAAATACACTACAATGTGGGAATTTCCGAAAATGGACGACGTGTAGAGGCCAGATATAGATTCCAGACGCTATTTTGGAATCCAATATGGCGGCAACATGTTTTCCATGGTCACCATAGCCGATCAAACTCCAGACGAAACTAGAACCGCACTACCGTTCATACTGGTGACAACGCTCTGATGAGACAACGAAACCTTACCCCCAAGCTCCTCCCCTGATCCTACCCTTCGACAATGTACCTCTCTTACCTCGAGTAAGCCGCGAGTATTCGGCCCAACTCCTACTAGACATAGAATTAAGTGAATGTTGTTACAAACAAAGAACAATGAACTATCGGCTCCGTAAAGCTAACGTGATTGAGCCTTCCAAATAAACGAACTAGTTAAAAAAAACATGTTTTCCATGTATAAGGCTTACCAAGAATATTGCGTATAATTTATTGTGTATAGCGTATCACTGAGCAAGATCGCAAAATAACGTGGAAAATTCCTTAAAACAATAAAACGCTTTTAATTGTTTTGTTGTATTTTTTCTATCGTAAACTACAGATTTATTCCTGGACCCCTCGACAGTGAATATGGTTGATATTTTCATCCACCACCTGGTGCGGCAGAAATCGAGTTAAAACTAAATCATTTCTCAGAGGTCGAAAGTTTCTGCTCATTGGACAGCAATGTTGAACGGAGTGCAAAAATGC